TTTGGTGAGGCAATTGGGGTTAAGTGACTTGCCCGGAGTCACACAGCTAATAAGTGTTATGTGTCTGAGGCTGAATTTGAACTCAGGTCCTCCTGACTTCAAGGCCAGAGCTGTATCTACTATGAGATCTAGCTGCCCTTTCAACTCCTCTTAATGAAGTATAAGTAACCCCTCAATGTTAAAGTCTAAGCCAGTGGAACAGAAACTTTGGGAGCTCCTGAAAGGCTTTGGAAATGTGCCTAACTATTGCCTATATGTGGGCCATCTATAAGCCCACTCTAGCTATGTTCAAAGAAGCTTGATTAATGGCAATGAATTACTTTGACCAAAGCCACTCTTGAAGATCATTCACTGAGTCACAGAAGGGTAGTTAAAAAGTTGATTGGTGGTGGGACAAAATAGAAGATCTTGGAAATATAGTCCAGCACCTCTATCTTGTCTCATCAGAGAAGGAAGCCCTCCACTTTTTCAAAGATCACAAATGTATCTCCCCTCCAAAGCCAGGATGGAGTTTCTTTTTCATGGAATCATCAGATCATAGATTTAGAGATAGTGGGGACCTTAGACACCATCTAGTTCATCTAGTCTGAATATATATGCATCATCTTATAGATGAGGAAATAGAAGCCTGGAAAAATTAAGTGACTTACATGAGGACATACAGATAATTAGTACAAGAGCTAGACTTTGAATTCATATCCTACTATTCCAAATCCATCATTCTTTCCACTGAACCATATCCAATCTTTTCTTTTTTAAAAAAATTATTTATTTTTAACATTCATTTAATCTCTTTAAAAAGGATGGACTGAGTTTTAGAGGAAAGGAAGATACGTTACTGCTGAAATCAGGCAACCTACAGTGAGAGTCAGAATTTGAGAATCAGGAGATGGTAGAATTTATGGTTCTAAATCAATTCTCAATCATTCGCATGTGACACATCCACTTTGTAGTTTATCCATGGCACATGGTTAATTTAGGCTGGTTTCCTGCCTCGGCTCACGGACAGTTGATGTTTGCTAGACAATATAACTTCCATTTACTTGTAGCCGGAGACCAAAAGATTAGGATTCCGCACTGTGGAAAGATAAGAGCTAAGAAGACAGATGACTGATTGCTAAGGGTGAACAAAGATGTGCTCAATACATGCTACAGCAAACAAGCAACCCTAAAATCTCAGAGAAGGGAGAATAAAATGTTGTGATCTTGGGCCTTCTCTGGGCCTCAGTTTCCTTATTTATAAAATGAATGAGTTAGACTGAGTAATCGTAAATCTCCTTCCAACTCTAAATCCTATGATCCCTAGGTGATCCTAGTGTGCCCTTAGAATTCAGTAAGTATATTTACAGCACTTGTTATCTCAGACAGCGGCACGGCTGGGTTCCAGGAAAGTTTAGATTAGAGGTTGGAAATCTTTCAGGGATGGCTTGCCAAGATTTTATTTGCTCCCTGAAGGAAGGTAAGACATTTCTGTTCTTAAAGCAGAAATTCCTTTTCAAAAATGCAAATGCTTCCTGGGAAGATGACATCTTAAACGTTTATCATAGGATTTAGAGCTAGAAGCAATATCTTGTCCAATGACCTCATTTTGCAGGTATAACAGGCATGCCCATGGAGTATGGGGATGGACACATGCACTGGTCTCTTACTAAAGAGCATGTTTGACCAGAGGTCCTTGGTTGGCCTCTTGGACCTATGAAGTTTGAGGACATTGGAGGAGAGGGAGCGTAAAGGGGCTGAGCACATACTCTGATCACTTCTCGTGACCAATACGTCTGCCTCTTGCTAAATAGCACGTGCCTCTAGAGACTCCTGCTTGGCTACTTGCTTCCTGAGACAAGAATAAGGATGTATGCCAAAGAGGACTGGCCTCTGAGCCAGGAAGAGTCGCCTACTTGGAAGGCTTAAAGGAAGAGCAACTTCCTTCTCTCTTCCAGTCTTTCAAATTTCTGGTTTGGGGCTTTAACATCTCTCTCTTTAACTTCCAGTGATGGTAGGGGTGTGCTGGAGCCAGCTCTAAACAGCTGGCCAAGAGATTGATAAATCTTCAGAGTGAGATTCTGAATCCTCAGAAGCTGGGAAACACTACAAATCAGGGCTTGTTCGGTTGATTGTCTAGACTTAAAAAGTGTTCATGATGCAGATTAAATTTAACAGTGTACACCTATAGCATACCCATGTTTTGCTCTATAAACATTGGTTGAGCTCAACAGGACTGCAGTAGAAGGCTCAGGGAACAAAGTTATCACCAGACTAGAGGCCTGGTAACTAGAGGTTAATAACAATGACTGGCATTTCTACAACACTTCAAAGTTGGTAAAGTGATTTATATCTATTATCTCACTTGATCCTCACAACTACCCTGGGAAGTACAGATGGGGAAACTGGAAACTGAGGCAAACAGGTTTAATTACTTGCTTAGGGTCACACAACTAGTAAGTGTCAGAGGCTAGATTTGAACTCAGGTTTTCCTGACCACCAGCCTAGGGCTCGTTCCTCTATACCACTTAGCTGCCCCTCAAAGATACGAGCTCAACGTCATATACACATTCACACACGCACACACACACACACTCATACAAACAAATACACACTCACACATACTCATATACTTACACACACATATACACTCACACACACATGTTCAAACACACACTCACACACAGATACTCAGATACTCAGACACCCATACTCACATACTCACACATACTCATATGCTCAGACACACATACACATATTCATACACTCAGATACACACATATACTCATACACTCACACTCACATACATATACTCAGACACTCAGACCCCCATACTCACACACATACATACACAGTCACACATACTCATATACTTACATGTATATATACACACACATATTCATACACTCACACTCACCCATATATATTCATATACTCAGACACCTGTACTCAGACATACACACATACTCATATACTCAGACACACGCACACATACTCATTCACTCACACACATGCATACACACTCACATATACTTATAGACTTACACACATATACACTCACAAGCACATGTTCATACACTCACACACACATACTCATATGCTCAGACACACACATACACTCAGACACCCGTATTCACACATTCACACACACATGCACACAACCAAGATGAAGTAATATAGCTTACATATATCATAGAAGGATGGATTTACTGTCTGAGTATCTGGATTAAAATTCTAGGTCTGTCATTTAACTTCTCTAGACCTCAGTTTCCTTACCTGTAAAATGGACTAGATAACCTCTGACATTTATTTTAGCTGATACAATAATCTAACTTTCTTCCAAATCCAGCCATTCTGGAATTTTTGGATCTTATTCACTGGATTGTAGAAATTTAAAGTCAGAAGGCAACTTAGGAACAATCTAATCTAACTTCCTCATTTTCTAGATAAGGAAACTGAAGCACAGAAAGGGGAGTCACTTGGCCAAGGTCACATAGGGAAGTCAGTTGTGGTATCATAGCTGGAATATTCCCTTCTTACCTTCTCCTACCACCCCACCCCCAAAATGATTACAATCTTATTAAGAGCAGGGTAGGTGTCATGTCTATCTGCCTTGGTAACAGATTAGGTCTCTAATTACTGTTTGTTAAATTGAATCGAACAGTCTGAGACCCTGGACACAGCCCACAAGCCTGGTCTACTAAATATAGGGAACCCTACAATTTTCTAACTTTGAGCCAGATAGGTGGTCACTGGCCATCATGGGTCTGGAGAAACCTCAGAAAGGAGATTCTTGAACCAGGCCGACCTCTCCACTGTAAGCCTGATTGAAAATTCAACTAACAGAGGTGAGAGATCTCAGGTTCGATGGAGATGGAGGACAGTAAGAGGCTAGTAGCCGTGTCCTTTGGAGCACAAGCAGCAAGCCTGGTCCCCACTATCCTTTGCTGTCAACTCCATGCAAATATCACTAACATTAGGGACTGCCTCGTTTTTTCTATTTAAATCCTGAGCATTTAGCACAGACTTTGGCGCACAGCTAGTGCTTAGTAAATGAAATTCATTCATTAATATAAGGCTTTTCCCTTCTTGGTAGTATTAACTGCTGTAATCTGTAGGCACTCATATACGGTAAAGAGAGATGTTCTTTGGAATAAAAAAAAAGAATTTTTTTTTTTTTTTGCTGGTAGGGGACAGATTATATTTTATTAGTCAGATAGTTAGCACGGTGCTTAGTGCTGAGCTTAGAGTCAGGAAGACCCGAGTTGGAATCCTTATTTGCTGTGTGACCCTGGGTAAGTCTCTTATCCTTTCTCATCCTCAGTTTCCTCATGAGTAAAATGGACATGATAATTGCACCTACTTCACAGGGTTGTTCTGAGGATCAACTGAAATAACACATGTAAAGTACTTTGCAAACAAACCTTAGAGTGCTACATAAATACTGGTTATTTATCATCATCTCTTATGCACCTCATTGTGGCACAATGGATAGAGCAACGGACCTGGAGTCAGGAAGACCTGAGCAAAACACTTAACTTCTGTGTACCTCAGTTTCTTCATCTGTAAAATGGGGATAATAATTGTACCCACATCCAAGGGTTGTTGTGAGGACCAAATGAGACAATATTTGCAAAACACTTTTTGCAAATCTTAATGCGATATCTAAGTGCTATCTAGCATCTATTTAGTATCTATTATTATTTCTTGAAATCAGTAGGCCACATCTCATCCTGGCCTAAAATAAAGTCAGCTGTGCTGTAGCAAAAATAAATAAACAAATAAAAATTAAAAGCACTGTATTTAGAATCAGAAGACTTGGGTTTAAGTCCTAGCTCTGATACCTGTATGCTCTGTGACTGTGGACAATCACAATACCTCTGGCCCTTAGCTTCCTTCCTTGTAAAATGGGGGAAGGGAAAGTTTGTTCATTTCCAAGAATCCTTCCACTCTAAGGTTCTATGATTCTAGGGAAGGGATAGGGACACCTCCCAATTTCATGATACTGCTCTTCATTCCAGTGTTGCTCCCAGTTGTCTGGGCCCAGGTGCAGGGGCTCGTGGGGGGCTCTGCATTGCTGGAGGCAGAGGTGTCCCCAGGTTTCCGAGTCCGTGACGCCATCTGGAGGTCTCTGTGGCCCTCAGAAAAGCTTGTGGCCACATTCTTCCGTGGGGCACCAGAGATCCTGTATGATTCGCGATTCCTGGGCAGGACCCAGCTGCATAGCAACCTCAGCCTGGAGATCCAGCCTCTGGAGCAAGGGGACAGTGGCAACTTCTCACTGCTGCTGGTGGACACCAGGGGCCGGACTGAAAGTCACACCCTGCAACTCACAGTGTATGGTAAGGGAGCCTACCTTGACCTTGGCAGCTCTCATCACCCCTCCCTGGGGCTAATACCTTAAAGTGTTGTCATGGGGATCAAATGAGATGTAAAGTGCTTTGTGGTTAGTCATCACGCATTTATTAAATGCCTACTATGTGCCAGGCTCAGTGCTAAACCCTGGGGATGCTAATGGAAGTTTTAATAATAAATATTAATAATAAACCATATTTTATTAACTAAACCTGAATTTTAAATTAAACCTAATTTTATTAATAATAAATATCAAAGCACTATATAAAAGGTATTATTACTAATTATAGCTATTTTTATTAATAATATTATTATTCTAGAGCAGAAGGGATAGACATTTCTAAGTTCCAGTTCTAGCCTCCTTCTGAATAGACTGTTCACTGTCACATATACAACTGCCCTTCAGAAAGTCAGATGAGATTCTGGTTTCTTGAAACCCTTCACTGCTTTTAGTCCTTCTTCCCTAGCTCCACCCCCCACCACATCCCTACAGTTTTTGGGAGTTCCTACCTCGGTTGGAGAGGGGGCCAGAATGAGCCCAGAACTTTCAGAGTCTCACCTGGACTGGAGAACAGGGAGTAGGGGTAAGCAATGTAGGCAGATAGCCAGGGTGCAGCATACAGAGTCACTCAACAGGCATTTATTAATTACAACGCGGCAGGCTAGGTGCTAAGAGGATATGAAGAGGAGCTTTTTTTTTTTGTATCAAATAAGCATAGTCAAACAAAACAAATCCAATGGTAGCCATGGGTTAGAATGTTGATTTCATTCTGTCCCTTGAGCCTAGAACTCTTCTATGATGAGGCTCATAGCATCTTTCATCATCAGTTGATAGGCACTTTTTAATATTTCTTTTTATAAATAATATATTCACACTCCTAGAAAATTCTGTCC